ATATAAACATATTAACTATTTTTTAATTTTAATGATATTTGACCGTAGGTAGCAGAAAATAAAATAAACAATATTCATTCTCTTTAAATCTTGGTAGGGGCTCCGTGGACACCCATTCAATGGTACTCTCCCAGGTGTAACGTACACCCACCGGTGTGTAATTCATACCAAACGTATCGAATGTTTATGGGAATATATTCGGAAACATGTCCGAAAAAAATACCTATATATCTGTACTTGTTTGTCCGAAATCAAGTCGCATGTTTTCACATGATATTTTACAAGGTATGTAAGAGGAAACCGCACATGATTTTGTGATATAATAGCACACTAAGGCGCAAAATTAAACTTATGTATTTTTCAGTCCTGAAAAAAATGATATTTTATTTTATTTATCCTATACAAACTTTGAGGTTAGGTTTTTATAACATTTGATGCAATTTTTCGATTACTCAGTTCGGCTACTCTTAAAAAGGTGTACCTTTTAAAATTTAAACTTCGATAAAACAAACCGTTTCCGAGATATTCAAGATTACAATAATTGTTATATAGTATTTAAGCATTAAAAGGTATAATATTTTATAATCAACAATTTTTATTTTTTAATTTAAAAAACTGAAAAAGGCATTCCATGAGCCTCGGGAATTTTTGCCTTGACATTAAAAAAAAAATTCAATTAAAAAATAATAGTATATTAAAGAACTAATGTCATATCATTTGTAATGGATGATTGCGACAAAAGGTCTTATGACATGAGTTCTTTATGCTATTTTATCTATTTTGCAAAAATTCTATAAAAAAAATAATTTTATACCTTAAATTTAATTTGGTCGAATTTTACTTTAGATAGTTGGTATTACAGTCATTGGTTTGACAGTTAATGCCAAAATCGATTCGCCATGCCGTCCTTAATTTACTAATTTACAATAAGCGGCTGTTAATGTTAAAGAAGAAAAAAAGGATTTTCTTTGGTGTTAAACAAAATTTATTGCCAGAAAAGTCTCATAAGTACTAGAAAAATCATAAAAATATTATAACCAATATGCAAAATATTATGCTGTTTAAAGTATAAAATCAAAATTTTGGGTGGGATAAAATATCTTATTACAGCACCGAAAGCGGTGTTATAATGAAGTCATTATGAACGCGAAATAGATAAAATTTGTTTTCATATACCTTTTAATCCTTTAACTGAATAATCAAAAAGTTGCATCAAATGTTTTTAAAACCTATCCTTAAAGTTTGTATGGGACAATAAGCTTAAAGCAACCCCCGTTTCTACGACACTGTCTTCACTCAAACAATTGTAATTATGTGTGAATATGTGTATTGGTAGTGAGTGAATGTTCTTCAAATTTCACCTTTCCATGTCTACCATAGTAGAAGTTATATTAAAAAACACTTATCACCCTGTATCTTGGAAAAATAAGTGATTAGTAAAAATATTTATTTAAGTTTTCGTCTTACTTTGACTTGCTCAATCTTTTCCTAAATTTATGACACTAAGTTTAGGGACACCTTGTATTATATTATAATACATAATATTATATCCGTTTTTGTTTTTTTTACCGTTGAGAGACTTTCTTAATTAACGTTTTTAATAATGTATATTTATGTTTGAATTTAGTTTGTTTTATGATTTCTAATGAATTGAAATGTTTGTAAACAATTTGCGGGTATGGTATGCAATTTATTTATTTTTTTTCTTGTAGTTATTTTTGTTTTTGTGGGGTGGCATAAAACTAATGAAATTGCATAATGAATAGCGGTGCAGCGAATACCCATGATTAATGAGTTTGTCAGTGGAAATTTTGAAGTGAATTTGTCCCGTGATCATTCCCGCTGTCCCACGGGACAAGCCAGGCACCGTCGTTCTAATTCCGATTATTTGCATACGTACGAACCACAATCACGACCTGTCGCCACAGCCACGCAAATCCTTACAAATTTGCAGCCACTCGATTTCTGATAGATACAAATTGAACGTCATCGAGAACGCTTTAATTTAAAAGTAATGTATTTAATTAACAACATGTTCAGTAGGGTGGAGCGAAATTTTTTTTTCCTTAGCCAGGGGGTGGAATTTGTAGCCTATAAAAAATTTTTGAAAAAAAAAAATTTTACTCAACGTCTTGAGGTGGCCCACTGGTTTTTTAAATTAAATTTAAGTTAAAATTCTTTAAAATAAAAAAAAAAATTTTTTTGGCTTGTAATATTCAAATTTATCTAAAAATAAACAAATTTGATCGTGTTCAACTCGAAATTTGCTTTATTGCCTCAGAAAAGCATGTTACTATTTTAGAATTTTTTTAAAAACAACAATAATGACCACAAAATTTTTTTTAAGTTCATAACTGTTAATTAGCAAGAAAGAGGACACTCCGCACTTTTGAAATTTTTTTTTTATTCAAAAGAATTTAATTTAAAAAATCAGTGGGCCACCTCAAGACGTTGAGTAAAAAATTTTTTTTTATTTCAAAAATTTTTTTTTATAGGCTACAAATTCCACCCCCAGGCTAAGAAAAAAAAATTTTTTTTCGCTCCACCCTAATGTTCAGCTTTTACAATAACACAGCTTTGTTATTATTTAATAAATATTTCTTCCATTAGACGGAAAAATAAACATTTTTATGGCGCGACATATGACTTCAATGCGATTATTATGCCATTATATAATCGAATCAAGAAACTCATTGTTACGGCATATTTCACGAAATAAGGGAGCGAAGCCCCTCCGAACCAATAATATGAAGTCGTTCAGCCATGCGACATTTAAATAAATAATACACTAGAATAAAATACATTACCTGATTAATCGTAACAGTTTAACTACGATGTTTTGATGATTTTTTTGTTGTTGCAAATTTTGCGATTTATGGTCATTTCAGGCGAGCGAAATTGTTTTTATAAAAAAAATTGTAGAAAATTTATTATATAATATTTTGGCATTAAAATTATCAAAAATATTCTTCTTTTATTAGGCTGTAAATTAAATTAAAAAAAGCAAGATATATTTTATAAAAGTAGAGATAATTGTAATAATTAAAATGTGCAGAATGCAGAATTAACTAATGATAACTTTAAATAATATAATTTATATTTAAGTTTGGACATTTTTAAGAAATTAATAAATAATAATTTTTGCACAAACATAACCTTAAAATCAATCATTTTTTTATTTGAGTTCTCTAAAAAATGCCGACAACTGCATTTTAAACAACAAAGTATATGTACTTACCTACGAATTCATGCCAACAAAATATTATATTTAATACATAATATAATGAGTGAAGATTCTTCATCAACGCTTTTAATAATGCAAAATGCTGTTTAAATTTTGACGATTTTTATTGAATTGAAATTTTTACACTTTTCCCTTTAATCACTACTAAAATGTGTATTTATTGTATCTAATAGGTACAATTTATATTTACAGAGACTGTATGCAATTTATTTCTTCATTCAGATTAACACTGTTTATTGGAAAACCGGTAAATACTCAACCCAGGATTTCCTCTCGAAATACACCCAACAACACAACAAATCGATCCACGGTTTTTTTTCCATATTTTTAAAAATTTCCGGCTTTATTCTCAAAAACACTCGTTTGTAACCTAAGCGTTTGACAGCTGATTATTAAAAGTTCTACTTTTGTTACGATGATAACACGCGGACAATTTAGTTTTGAAATGGACGAGTGCGACAAAAGGTCCATGAGTTCTTTATGTTATTTTATCTATTTTGCAAAAATTATATAAAAAAATTAATTTTATACCTTAAATTTAATTTGGTCGAATTTTACTTTAGATAGTTGGTATCACAGTCATTGGTATGACAGTTAATGTCAAAATCGATTCGCCATGCCGTCCTTAATTTACTTATTTACAATAAGCGGGTGTTAATGTTAAAGAAGAAAAAAAGGATTTTCTTTGGTGTTAAACAAAATTTATTGCCAGAAAATTCTCGTAAGTACTAGAAAAATCATAAAAATATTATAAGCAATATGCAAAATATTATGCTGTTTAAAGTATAGCCAACCTATAAAATTAAAGTATTAGCTGTAAAAAGTACTTACAACCCAAGCAGATAGTCTTGGAACAGTTTCCTCCAGAAATTTGATTTTAAATGCTTCTAGAATTATAAAACACCCGTAAAACCAATATAGGTACTGCTATAAAGCTAAATAGGCCTTAAGGGTTTCTTAAGTAAATATGGTTTTATAAGGGTATAAATGACATCCCATAATAAAGCAAAGTTAAAACAAGTGTAATAGGCGTTATATAGAGTCGCATGTGTTACTTGGGAAAGTACTTTTTTGAACGATTTCCTTATCCGCCGGAAACGCTTTATAAATTTCTTCGGCCATTTAAAATATTCAATTTGTTTTTTAAAACCATCTGTATTATCCGCGAAAAGAAAGTATACCTACGTATGTTATAAATAAGGAAGCACTTTCCGATACAAAGGAAATGTTTATTGGACTTTTGTACCAGTTCTACATGCTGAATTTTTAAATTTAGTTACTAATTTTTATTTAGCATTTTCGAACGAGGGAAAGATCAATTTTAATACACGAGCTATGACATTTGGGCAAAGGGCACTCGGCGTGAGTTACGATTGAAAAACTCCCTCGTGTATAACAAAACAACAACCGGGTTTTTTAATGCGTCACATTTATTTTAAATTAATTTTTTCTCCATTTCTTCCCATGCATTAATTTTAATATTTATAACAATTTGGCATTAAACAAATTTATTGTCAGCACAATTCAATAAAGTAAACACATGTAAATGTCCCGTTGCGCCATAATGATAATAAATAACCGCTTTTCAGTATTGCTACAAATACAAATCGTTGTTTTCGAAAGCATGCGAAAAACACCGGCTAATGCTGAGCAAATATAAAAGACAAACCAAAGTGACTAATACACTTGATTGTCGGATATTATTTAAATGGCCAGAAGAAATAACTGAACATTAATCTTGGAAATATTTTCGTACCTAATCGGTTGAAGTATCGTGCTCTGTTATGTATGATTCTTTTCCTTTTTGGCTTATTTTCCTTTCCTTCCATATGAGGGTTTCTGCTTAAATCGAGGATTTTTTCACTGGATTTTCGATGTTCAGCACAAACGAACTCTTCAACTATCTCACCGTCACTATTTATAGTTCTTGTATGTGTTACACTGTCATTACTTTTGGTATAAACATATGAAGTTTCCGAATCACTACTAAAAACACTACTGACATCCCAAGCTAATGATTCTTCTACATTTTTTTTCTTCGCTTTTCTTGTTTTAGGTTTTCTGTTTCTGTTTTCTGCAACTACCTCAAAATCAACCAGGTTTTCATCCATTAGAGCGCTTTCAGCAAAACAAAAAATCTCTTCCAGATCCAGCTCGAAAGGGCTGTTTTGATTGTCATCAACCACGATATTGTTTTGTTTTTTCCGCTTCTTCCTACTTTTTTCATCTTGAGTTATTGAACTGAAGTCCACCGTGGAAATTTCGTTAATTTTCGACATTATTGGTTATAACTACATAATATTTATGACGTGAGAAACGATACTACCAAGTCTACCGCGTTTTAAGATGAAAAAAATTGTTGTCAAGTTTTTGTTGGATGGAATGTAAATATGTACCGGGTGGATCCAAAAAGTACATTCAATAATAAAACTGTTTTACAAATTAATAAAAAATAAATGTACATTTACCATTATAAAACCATATTTACTTAAAAAACGCTTAAGGCCTATTTAACTTTGTGGAAATTATGAAAGTGAAGCAGTTTCTTAGATATAGTCAATTCCATATTAAATGGATTGACTGTTCTACTTTTTAACTTTTGACGACATCTTCGAATTCAGGGGACAATTTTACATAAGAATTGGATGTTAAATTTTGGGATACCATGGTATACCATGATTAACCATGGTACAAGTGAAAAAGCATCCACTAATAACTAATAAATTAGTAATTTTTGACTAATTCATTTTTAGAGAGTAAGCAAAGTATTTTTAACAACAAAACTAGTTCTTGCAAGGTTATTATACCTAACTTTGATTAAAATGCCCTGTTTAGGAGAGGCTATCAATTTTCTATGTAATACCATAAAAATAAATATGATAAATTGTTGCAAAATTACCATTTGTTTCTAAGTATTTCATGACTTTCATCAAAAATGTGGTGGTGGTATTAAAATATCACCTCAAGATATTGCTTTTAAATATTATTTTAAACCACATACAAACATATTTAATTTAAAGTTAAACTTCGGTCTTTATAAAATATTAAAGTCTTTACTCGAGAGATAATAGTTACTAATACTAAACCAAAGCAATATTGTATATACTACAGCAAAAATGCTTTAAAAGAATACTGCTTACATTCCAGGTAACAATTTAGGTTTTATTAGGTAATACAGGAAAGCTTTAAAACCCTTTTTTCGTTGTAGTCACAGGATAAAGTTGGCAATAGTGACTTTTCGGCATTTTAGTCACGGGCTGAAGTTAGTTTTATTATAAATTACGGAAAAGCAAATAAAATTGGCTTTAAATTCTTCTTTGTGTTCGTCGTAGATAAAGTAGTATGCAACTCGTTTTATAAACTTCTCTAGGCACACGTTCTTATTAAACACTCGCTCGCAAGCTTCGCTCGTGCCTAATAAACCTTGATACCTAATATACTATTGATTCCAATTAACACTTTTTTAATTTTTGTCTAACAACATCGACATCATGCACAAGCATGCGAACCAATGCAACAAAAAAATTGTTATAAGTTTAGTAACTTCATAAAACTCCTTAAAGGTACGGTCTGTTTTGGGCGAGTAGTCGAGGCGATTAAACGCGGCGTTTAATCGCGCCAATAGGTTATATACACATATCATGGTGATGGTCTTGTTTAAGCGATAAGTCGATACAAGTCGCTACAAGACGACGCGTCTTGGGCAAAATCGGTCGTGAGGCAATTTTTACGTGCGCGTTTAATTAAACGCTCGCGAATATTAATGAAAAATGAGCTCCAAAGTTCATTAAATTGACATCTGGTGACTCTAAAGTATTCTCTGAATTTAGTTTCGTCGTCAATTAAATGTCTCATTATCAGCGTATTAAAACACCCTTCCTTTCTTCTTTGAACAAACATTTTATGAATCTTTCTACGCTTTTTATGCGCTTTAAATGATAATAGCAAAATGTCATCATCTTCTGCTTCTTCCATAAGCAACTGTACTGCAAACACAAGTTCACTACTTGTCATTTTTGTCACGACTAGTCGATTACCTGAGCTGGCGACGTAAGGTAAACAGACCACTATGTGCGATTAGGTGCGATTAGACGTAAGCGATTAAGCGCCGCGTTTAAACGCCTCGACTACTCGCCCAAAACAGACCGTACCTTAAGAGCACTATAGAACCAAAGTGTTTTAAAATAGCATATTAATTAATGGACATAAAACTGTATTAAAACAAACTCGATTTTAAAACAAATCCATGGTTATGCATAATATAGTTTTAAAATATTCTATAAAACATTTCTTTAAGAGTATTTTATCCTAAAGTCTCATTAGAAAAATATATTGCCTTAATAAAACAGCGTCTCTATTTTGTGCAACAATAAAACTATATTAAAACCATTATTAAAACTACCTTTCTTAAAGAATGTTACTTGGGATGCTAACTAGATTTATAGACCTCTTCGTCTAAGGACACTCACTTAACTACCTTTAGCTTTATAGAGGTGTCAGATGAGGATTTATAAAAGCTGTGACAACCTCATTAAAGCAATTATAATAAAACCTTTAGGTTTAGTTTGACTTTTGCTAGTAACCAGTGTAATAAATACTCAGTCCACATCATACTTGATTTGGCGATCAACACTTGATGCTTCCTCGAGAAATAAATCCTGGAAGAAAAAAAGGACGCGTCGCAACGCGTCGGGACGTTAAGGAGGATAATATTTAGATGAGATGGATCCTCGGGAAGATTGATACCGTAATCTGCGTCGCAAAAATTGGCCGAAGTCTCGGGACTGTGTACATTATCATACTATTACGGAACGTCAACGGATGATGTACGATGCAACTACAATGCACTCGAGCTGAAAAATAATGTGTTTAGTAGGGAAACGGGGACGGGAAAATGGCATTTTCCGCCCGCAGACGTTGCTTTAAAGCGTCAAAGATAACGTGCAGTTTTCTTGTTATAAATAACAATATTATTTTTTTTTCTCTAAAGACGACAACAGTATTTCATTGATGAATACTGTAACAGTAGGTACAGCAGTGCAGGTTTAATAATAGGCATCGTCCGTGGAGTTTATGATGTAGAAAGGCAGCGAGAAATCTTTCAGATGTTCACCGCCCAAAGTGACAATGTATCACTGACTGTACCATCGCTGATATATTACAATTTTACACATATGTGGTCGCGCGGCATAAATTTCGCGGTTTATGAAGCGTCGACGCCGAAAATACGGCAAAATAAAACTATTAGGAGGTACAGTAATTTGTCTAAGCAATTGACGTTGTTCTTAAGATCGATTGCTGCAGCTAGAAACAAATGTTGGACAGGTAATAAAGAGCATTGAAACGTTCTTTCGGATGGCCGGGAGCTAGTCACACGTCCTCCACTCTTTTCGCGCCAGCGTATCGGGACCACACACAAAATATCGTGACGATGATCCGACGCGCGACTTAAATTACCCACGAACCGGTAATTTGGCTGCAGGTTAGGGGAGCTATACACGTGTTTTAAGCACCTACTAATCATTTAACCAACTGTATATCAAGTGATACTTTCTGGGGTAATTTTGGGCAAAAAATCTTCTGGTTGTGCCAAATCGGATATATACAAAAAAAACCTAATTTATATTAATAATTAATCATCAGTCCAAGTATATGTTCATCTCACCAAATCTCCGCAAATATATTTATATCTATTATCTATTATCTAAATGTTATATACATCAAACACCAAAACGGTGTTTATCTAAAAATATTTGAGAAGTGCACCTAAACAGGAAAAAGAAATAGTTAGTTAATTTATATTAATTTAGTTGACCCATAAGTATTTATTTAAATCAACTGTGGGAAGGTTAATATAAACATATATTAGTTTGACGGTACTAAACCAGATAGTTATTTTTTTTTTAAATTGGTTAAATTAACCCAGAAAACTTTAGTGAAACCAACCCGCTGTATGGTTCAGTTTACTAAATATGTTGTTTGTAAAATAAGAGTTACTACAACCTAAAGCACTCTGTTAAAACGATTAAAACAATTTGCCGTGCATTCCTGGTTGCATAGTGTGTACCGATCGCGGCAAAGGCGGTGTGGATCAAGTGATGTTCTTAAATCTCGCCTCTGTTGACTTACTTGAAGAGTATATAAGCTCAGGTAGTCCTTTGCGTTGGAATGACACTACAAGGTGTTCGATACTAAAGAGACATTAAATAGGTGGAAACAGCTGTCAATACCTGAAGTGGAACGCACTAAAAACATTATCTCTAGCGAGTTGAGGGTTCAATTTTCTGGAATAATACCACTGGTAATATACTAGTAATGCGTCAAGAAACTTTCTGTTTCCTTTTTTTCTGTGTAGTATGATTTAATTTGACCAAAAACACATAATATTTAACACTGAAAAGGATTTTGGTTTGTATCGATATAGACCATGTATGGTGTTAATTTGGTGTTAAAATGGTCATGAAATTTTGAACAGTGTACCTATGCTTAATTTATTATTAAGTATTTTTTGTTACAAATGTAATTCTTGGCGATATTTTTACTTTTAAATTAAATATGAGCCATAATTGTTTCAAATATTGTCTAAGTATTCTTTTTTAAACTTTTGTTCTACTTTAAATAAAGGTTAGGATATAATGACCATGTTTATTTTAAAAGGTAAAGAGTGGATTATGCTATTTTTTTTTCTAAGACTGAGAGAGAAAAATGTATAGGATTATTCACCTTTACCTTTTAAAATAAACATGGACATTATATCCTAACCTTTAAAGTCGAGCAAAAGCAAAAACAAAATAATAGACAATATTTGAAACAATTATTAACTTAACCTGAAAAAAATTATATTGGTCTATTACATAATTTTTTTACAATGTTTCAAATACCTATCTACCTCAATGATTTTTTCAAACCTTCAGACACGTTGATTTGGTTTGAGAGACGGGCATTTTTTGGCTATATTGGCCTGTTTAACCAAATATATAATCTAGAGGTAAAATATACATAATTGTTTTTTATGTGATTCTTCGGCCAACCTAAAATCACTCCAACATCTAAAATTCAATACATAATACTACACACATAAATATAATTATGTAATAATTATTACGTACACATACATTTGGTGGTTAATTCTATCAAATTCCACTAATTTAGCAGCCCTTTCATAATTCCAAACCAAAACAATCTTTCAAAATGTCGGACACTTTCGTGAGTGGGGAATAATTTTAAGAAAATGCCAGTCGTACCAATATTTACTAATCTTGGAATAAATATAATTATATTTATAACAAGTATTGTTTTATATCTTTAAGAACAGAATGGAGGAAATTTTCCAAAATTTG